AATAGCTGTGTGGCTTGGGCAAGGTACCTCGAGTCCCTATGACTTTGTCTCCTTACTTGTAAATGGAAATTATAATAGGGCCTCTGTGGCAACCCTGTTGTGGGGAGGTGCTCTGTCTAGGTGCCTCACCTGCATCGACACCAGCAATCCTAGCCCAAGGTCACGCAGCTCATAAGTTGCCTCTAGGGTCCAACCCCTGCCGTCGGGCCCCGGGCCCCGGGTCTTGCACAGTGAGTGCTCAGGAAGTATCCACTTTGTAGCTGGGATTGCAAGTCATCCCACTTTGGGTCTCGCTGAAATGGCTCGTGATCCCGGAGTCCCTCCACTCGGCTCCTGGGAGTCAAAGATTGTCAGATGCTCCTGGCACACAATATGGCAGAGGAGCTGACTCCGAGGAGACTTGTTGGGCCTGGCGTCTTTGCTTCTCCTCCAGTGTGATGACTGGCAGCTGTTTCAAGGTCTCTTGAAAGATTCCTCCCTCCCTCCCTGCGCTGTAGATCGGCTGCAGTTTGGGTCTGCCTCCTCCTCTTTGATAGAAGGGAGAGGGAGTTTTGACCAGCGCAGATTGGTAGAGGAGAAAACCATGAACGGAAGACCAAGACAGCAATGCCGGATCTAGTGATGAGCTGGTGCAAGTGTCGCCCCTACCCACAACAAATCTCCAGTTCAGCCACCAGTCACCCAAACTGACCTGGCGCAAGTGCTGTGTGTCTGGCACCCCTTTGCCATCTCTGCCCCCTCCTGCTCTCCCCCAGGCCTTTCTCTCCTTCCTGTTGCCCACTCTGGTTACAGCCGCAGCCATTTCCCTCTCTGCTGCCGTCTCTGCCTCGCTGGTGTATTATTACTTTCATGTCCTGCCCTCCCTTTCCTTGGGTCGGCTGACTACTTTGATCTTTTCACAAGCTTTTTTCTGGTTTTTAAACCAGCACTTGCTAGTGGGATAAATCCCTCCCCCCTCCCCGGCTCCCTGGAAATATGAGTGCCCTTCCTCCGTTGTCGCTGCCAGGGAGGGCGGCTTTTATCTCCCAGTGGAATCTCATTAGCTTTACATTATGATGGGACCCGAACCTCTACAGAGGCAGGGCAATTTAAATTAGTTAATAGCTTCTTCTTCTTTTTTTTTTGGCCTGGGGCCTGTTATTTTCCACATCTTGGCTGCTGGAGTAAAGACAACTTTGTGTTGAAAAGTATAAAACAAAAGTATGTTGAAGGTGGAATGCTTTGGCCAAAAGGAAGATGATTGTAGCGGAACTTCTCCAACACACGACAGCTTCTTAGGCTCCGCCAAGGGAGTCGGAGCACCAGTGAATGCAGAGGTTCCAGAGGAAGGAGGAGAAAACATGGCAAATTGGTCAACTCTGTTTGCTTCTGTGAAAATGTGTCAGTAGCTGGTGATGGGAAAGAAATTAAATGGCCGCATCCACACTGAAAAGAAAATCACCATTTGACAATTAAAAGGAATGCTTCATGCTGATACTTAGGGCAGAGGCTAAATTTGACCAGATTACCAACCCGTGATGGGGGGAGGGGGGGGGACTAATAAAGTGCCTGCCCTCTGACCAGATGCCAAAATAGATTATTGGTGCCTGACTCTTGCCACATCTGGAAGAGGGCATTTGTGGCAGTTACGTAATCTCTTGTCAACTAGAGGGTATTAAGAGTGAAGGGGTGGAGTTTAGCCCGTCAGTCAGGTCACAGCTTGACGACCTCATCTGGAGGCGCGACAGAGATAAATGCCTCTGGAGGCCGGCTACTCTCTCACCTTCCTGTGGAGACACATTCAGGAGCTGGAGGAGCCAGTGTTGAGCTGCTTCCACCGACATGGCATCCACAAGACTTTCCGCCCACCAGCATCTGTGATCTTCCTGCATTCAGCATCATTGCACATGCTGTGTGAGTCTGAAGAGGAGTTTATGGACTAGTATTGGACAAATGGGCTAATATCGAACGTAGGGACTTGGTCTGGATTGGGCTGGGATGTTTTCCTCAATATATAATTGCTGTTTGATATAAAACTCTGTCTTACACATATATGAGTGCCTCTGGATTTGTTTCTCCAGTCAACCTGGACTAACACAGCATTTCTTCTTCTTTTTTAATTCAGCATGCTCTGCTCTTGAGTAACCTGCTACATGGCAGCTGTGCTTGTGTACCTTAGTGACAGTGGTCCTGAACAAGCATCTCTCAGAGATAAAGGACTCTCCCCTGTCTTAAGCTGGATTCTCTGGAAGAAGCCCAGATAGATAGATGGATGGATGGATGGGGTGGATGGGGTGGATAGGTATAGGATAGGATAGGATGATAGGATAGTATACGATGATAGGATAGGAGATAGGATAGGATAGGTAGGATATAGGATAGGATAGGATAGGATAGGAATGGGATAGGGATAGGATAGGATAGACTGGCTGACTTTCTATAAAGGAAATAGTTCATACAGCTGTAGGTGCAGAGGCAAATTAATCCAAGGTTGACAAGTAAGAAGGAGCAAGTAAGATGACTCTCAGGATTGACAGGGAATATGGCAAGTAACAAGATTGGCGTTTTGTTTTACTGTTTTTTAAAATGTGCAGCTAAAGCATATCCGTCTTGGAATAGCCTTTGGGTCCCCTTCAGGCCAACCCAAACCACTCAAAATGATATAATCTCAACCCAGCAGCCTCTGGAGGCCTGGTGTGGAGCCGGGCCCTCCCACATCTTAGAAAAGGAGTCATGCCCAGAACTAGAGCACAATGGGGTGTGGGGTGGCAAATACCACCACCTTGGGCTGCTCTGCTTCCCAGTGCTGATCTACTGGGTACGGGCTTCACCAGAGGCACTATACTGGGTAGACTTGGGGGAAAGCATTCTCCAAAATCTTGCTTCTCGTTTAATGGCAGAGGCACGTACAGGGTTTTATCTGGGTGCATTTGTTGTTTGTTTGACTCAGTCTGTCGCGAGGGAGCTGGATGGTTCAGGTACCACGTCTTTGCTGTTTCGTAGTTGTTAGTTTTATAGCCATTGGTTTCACTCCACCAATCATAACCATTTTGCAAAGTTATCATTACTATCCATTTTTTTAAAGCCTATTGCTCATTTTGGAAAGCTGTCTGTCAAAGATGCTTAAAATAAAACAGTCTTAGCATTTCTCTTGAAAAGGTGCCATTTATCTTGAAAGTCACTTGGGCGAGGATTTCTCAACATAGCTGGGAACATGAGCTGTTGCTCTATGTGCAAGAATGCCACTGGAGGTGTCTGTGGCACGCGGCCTTCGGCGAGGGGCATCTTTGCATGCATTTATTCATGTAGTAAAGACTGAGTGCCCTCTATGCCTGAGGGGGGGCAGGAGCCAGATAGACAGGATGCCTGCCCTCCCGAGCCGGTCATCTAGTGAGGGATACCAGTCACCGGCAGGCCATTCAGCAGGAAAAGAGGACAGTCCAGGACCAGGGGTACAAAGGAGAAGCGTGGGCTGGTGAGCCTGGCTCTGTGGCTGGAACTGCAAACGCATGGCCTCAGTCCTCCGAGCCTTGTGCAGTGTCTGCTACTCCAGTCTCCTTGTTCCCCAGGAGGAGGCTGAGACTGAGAGACCCTCTGTAAAGGGCTGCAGATGACCTGCTGTGAGCTGGGATGCCAGGACCCATGCCCAAAGGCCTTACAGACTGTGTGGCCCCGCGTCTCTGGGTGAATGTCTAGATGTGTAGCTGGAGTAATATCTGGAGTCATTTGCATCTCCCCGTGTGGGTCCCGGGCCAATGGTTCTCCTTTCTACCGGACAGTTAACTTCACCGCTGCTGAAGTCTGCTCAGAAAACTCACTGCTGTCAAGTCGGTGTGACTCACAGCGGCCCTGCAGGACAGAGCAGAGCTGCCCCTGGGGGCAGTCTATAATTCTCTGCAAGAGCAGACAGCCTCATCTTCCTCCTGGGGTTAGAACTGCTGACCTGTGGTTAAAGACACCACCAGCACTCCTCTGGCCCCTCACATTTGCATCCTGGTGGAGGTTAGACCTGTGTTCTTTTTGGTGCTTAGAGTCAAAGATTGAATTGGAGTTGTTTTGTTTTGTTTTTTAACAACAATATTTGTAATACCAAGAATCCCTAATGAAGACAGTCAAACAAACCATTAGTTTGAAACAATTGTCAAAATAGGTATACTCTATTAATTTGCTAATTGATGGCAGGCATTCTCAATGTATGGCATCAGTCAGATCTCAGAACCACAAGAGATCTTAGACCGGTCCATTTGTTTTCAGGCAGGACAACTGAGGTCCAGAGAGGTAGAATAGCTTGATCAAGGTCAGAGGACACTGACTTAACCCCAGCAGTCTTTCCGTCTGATCTCCTGCTGCCCCTAGTGAACTTGGCACGGTCTGACCATTGGCTTTGTTGATAAAGTCACTTCTCGGAGAACGGGCATGGCCCACTGAGGCCTGGCAATAGAGACCCCCTTCAAGAATTGGTTAGAGCACCCCTCTGTGAGTGACAAAGCTCCTCAGACTGATCATAGTAGACACGTGAGGCCCAAAGAAACGATGATCTGAAATGACCAGCTTCATGTGCTTAAAGCCTATATACGGGTGGTAGAAGACCGAATGAGAACTAAAAGAAGAGAACTAAAAGGAGAACTGAACCACAGACAGTGAGAAATGATTCCTCACCTTCATAAAGTTCTCACGCCAGGCTGGGGCGTGTAACCCTTTCCATAGTCTGCCACCTCTTCACTTCTCCAAGCACACACACACACACACACACACACACACACACACACACGCGCGCGCGCGCGCGCGCGCACGCTCCCACCTGTCAAGGTTTTCAGTTGCTGGAATGTTCCACACTCCACTTCCATGCCTCCAACTCTGCTAACTAATTTGTGTTATTTCGATGGTATTGTAGGTGCCCTTGCCTTCAAGAGATGTTCGTCAGCAGATTTGGTTTTCATATACAAGTCTGCCTCTCTCTGGCTTGTTTTCTCTGCCGGTTGGAGTGGCCTCTGACTCCAGTTCTTGTCCTTCCTCCGCAGGTGACAGACCACGCCACTACGGCCCTGCTCCACTATCAGCTGCCCCAGATGCCAGATGTTGTGGTCAGATCCTTCATGGTAAGTGGCTTTAGGAGCCATCTCTCGTCGTTTCAACCCTGACTCCCAGATCATGGGAACCAGCAACTGGGGATCGTAGCATCTTCAGATGGCGAAGGCCGCGCCCAGGAAGATGCTCCCCATTTAGAACCAGTGCTGTTTGAAAGCTGGTCTGGGATCTGGGGAATCCACTTCCAGCATTGATTCGCCGGTGTTGGATCTCCTTTCTGAGTGAGTGTCCATTTCAGAAGTGACCTCCCGACATTGTGTCCAGCATTGTGGATAGCACATTCACTAGCTCACTACTGGACTCTTCATCTGTGCCAAGCACTGTGCCTGGCACTGAGCGCGTAGCAGTGAGTAAGCAGAACCATGCTGGCACAGACGGGCTGGTTCCCCACGATATTCGTCCCTCAGGTTTACCGAGCTGGAACTCAGGATGGGATCAACTCCAAAACAGCCATCCCCCTGGTGTACCGGGTGGGCTCCCATCAGCTCTTGTTAAAGGTTCCGAATCGTGGGAGCCAGTTGTTCCTCATTGGTAACATGGTGCTGGGCTTCCTGAGTCGGTTTATGCCATGGTGAGCAGCAAAAGGAGCGCATTAGGCAGTTTACCAGCACACTACTGCCCAGATTCCTCGCACGACCACTCATCAGCCCAGGTGCCCTCACTGCTGCTCAACACCTGTTTCCCTCCTGCTGGAGCACAAACCCCTGTTTCGCTGCTGAATGTGGGTTGACGGCCAGGTGGGGCTTTGCGCCTCCGATCCCTGGTCCATTTTATCCTCAACAGTTAAGCGTCTTAAAGAGCTTGTTAATTCAATTCTTGAAAGACATAAATGCCCCTTATTGATTGGCCTGACGGTGTCAAGGACATTGAGCCAAACAAACTCAGCTTCTCAACAGAGGCGCTGCCTCTGTGTTGGGCCCTTTATGTGTTGAGAAGACAGGTCCTCCCTGGCCTGCAGGGACATTGCCTTCCGGGCCTAGATCTCCAGCCTTTTCCACCAAATGTGCTTGAATGTCCAGTGTCCCATAGCTAACTAACTTCACAATGTGGGGAAGATTTGAATCCAATCAGCACTGAAGGATAAAGGTTTTAATTGAATGATCCATTGACCTCCTTGTGTTTAGTTCCCAAACCCAGGCCTTGTAAAGGGGACAGTATTGATGGTCCGAGCTGTGCCATGATGAAGGGCAGCTGGGATGCAGATGGAAGGGTTTTTAATCAATATTCTCAGCCGACCTCTTCAGAGAACAATTTTCTCTTATCGACATAATTCAGTAGGACATGAAATGACGTGGTTTGCATGGAGCCTGGGGGGGTGGGGTGGGGAACAGACTTACTTGCCCGTTGCTGTAAATGTGGTCTCTGCTCTGTTTCGTTTCCCCAGTAGTGAATCTCCTTGGGTGAGAATTGAGTTAGGCGAGTCTCATCCTTATGTATGATGCCCAAGAGAAGCCTGCACTCTGAACTGCTCCAGGGTGCGCCGGCTGCTTATTGTGTTAGCCGGCAGCACAGAGCTGGCCCTGGCCTCCCTGCAGGTGTGTTAGGCCACGCCGTGGCAGTAAGGGCTGACCTCAAATCAGATTAGAGAGAAGGGAGAATTCTAGACCCGTCACCTATTAGAAGTCTTCCTACTAGCACATGCCCATGACCACTTCTGGGTAGTGAACAAGGAGACGAGGATCAATACTAATACTCAGAAGACCTGGCATGCGGAAAATGAAATGTGGCGCTGCTCACCCCAAACCCCTGGCCGTGTGGTGGTTCATGGGGACTCCCGCTCCGGAGAGCAGGAATTTTTATTTTAAAAACTCCTCAGCTGTGGGGAGGGCGCCTAAGGGGGCCTCGGCACTGACGGTCAGCAGCGTTGTGACCTTGTCGATGCTGGAGGCAGGCGTCTCTCCATTAAAATCACAGGATCTCTCTGGGGCTGTCGGTTCTTGGTCCCAGGATCATTGGGCCTGACAGGAAAGTTGCCCAGAAGCACCCAGATCCCACCTCTTTCCTGTCCCTCTGCCTTCTCTTTTTAGACCTGGTTGAGAAGTTACATAAAGCTGTTCCAGGCCCCATGCCAGCGCTGCGGGAAGTTTCTGCAGGACGGCCTGCCCCCGACGTGGAGGGATTTCCGAACGCTTGAAGCCTTCCATGACACCTGCCGGCAGTGAGCCGGCCGGCCCACGAACCCCTCCCTGCTCCAACGCCAGCGCAGCCATTCCTTCCTTCCTCTTGTAAGACAGCAGGGCTGAGCCTCGAGCTGCAGATCCCTCCTCTGCGGTTGATGAGAGACTAAGCACACCTGTTAGCAGTGTACAGACAGCCCGGGAACCTCTGCTGTGCAGCATGTCCCTCAGCGAGTCGGCCCTGGGCCCGTGGTGTCAGTCACTTCGTGACTTGTTGTCTGATGACAAGCACTCTGTTCATGTGTGGTGGCATGCTCGGTAACTTATTTTTGTAAACAATAAATCTTTCATACAGCAGACAAGGGTGTCTCCTGGTTCCTGTAGCACCTTATACACGGGCTCCACCGACCGGCTGGGCTTCCAAAGGGAACGTCCTCAGTGATGTCAGCCGTTCAGACGCTCCTTGGGAAGGTGCGGTCCCTGCTTCTGGCTTTCTCTTGTTGACAAGTCCATTTCAAAGGCACTTTAGCAGCTTGAATAATGGATCGCTCCTTTTGAGGGAAGGGGACACATGATTCTTTTGCTAAATCTATGTCTGTCTGTCTCTCTGTCTCACACACACACACACACACACACACACACACACACAGCCCACATTAGCCAGCTAGAAAATGTGTGAGGTGACAAGAAGTGGCAAGTGTGTCTGACTTGCCAGCCCTGGGCTTTGTCCTGAGTGTCACTGCAACAGATCCAGCTGTCCCTGCATGATTCAGTGCGAGCCTCAACACCAGCCCTGAAGGCTGGCTCTGTGTCTGGGAAGAGCCGGGGATCTGGTAGATTCCTAGGGAACGTACACGGCAAATCAGGAGCTGCTCACAGTGAATGATGTCGAGAGCACCTGAGATGGTTCCTACCTGGATTCTGTACTTTCCACCCATCGCACTACCTTCACCAGGCTGAAAGGAGCGGGGGTCTGAGGGGACTTAGGGACAGGGAAACAACTATCCCCACCACTTGTCGGTCAGTTTGTCATACCGTGGTGGCCTGTGTGCCGTCTGATGCTGGAAGCTATGTCACTGCTATTTCAAATGCCAGCGGAGTCACCCAAGGTGAAGAGGTTTCAGCAGGGCTGCCAGACTAAGAACTGACAACGAAGCAGGAATCGGCTGCCGACTTCAGAGGAATTCGCCAGCGAAAACCTTATGCGTAGAATCAAAGCTTTGTCAAATACTGAAGATTGACGACATAGGACATTGTCAGAGCAGTGAGTCCCTCAGGTCGGCAGGCACTGAAAACAGGACCGAGGGAGCGCTGCCTCTCACAAGAAGTCAGCCTTCATGACTGGAATGGAGGAAAGCCTTCGGGACCTTCCTTTGCTGATGGGGCAGGACTCAAAATAAGAAACAGCTGCAAAGATCTAGTCATCGGAACTCGGAATGTACAAGGTATGAATCTAGGAAAGTTGGAAGTTGTCAAAGATGAACACATTTCATTTGAGGGTGGGGTGGGGTGATGCAGGACTGCCGAGCAGTGGTTCACTCTGCTGTACGCAGGTCGCCATGAGTGCTCGTGCCTGCCAACTACGATACCTGAGGACTGCAGACGGTTGTGCTCAAACGACTCACCCACCGCTCTGCAGAAGAAAGGCCTGGCGATCTGTCTCTGAAAAGCCTTTCTGGAGCGGTTGGGCTCTGTAACACTGGAGTCTCCCCGAGTTGGAATCAACTCGATGGAAATGGGGTGTTGGGTTTTGGTGGGGTTTTCTGTTTCTGCTTTTATTTTTTTCCATGATAGGATGTTGCTAGTGGCTGCCACGTCAACCCTCAGTGGTGCCACTCAAACACTAGCCCTTAGTAGCTCAATGGCATCGGCCTTGTTAGAAATAAAAGTCTTCAGTCCCCCGCCCCTCGGCCTCGTGAACAGATCTGTTTTTAACAGTTCTCCCTCTATCCTGAGAACCGCTGCTGTAGAGAGGTAGCAAGGCTTTCAACACCCAGTCTGAGGACATGGTGAGAAGATAAGGTAGGGTTGTAGGCAGTGTTCATCGAATCCAGAATGCTACCATTCGTTCATGGAAAGGCACCATTCTTTCATGAGTCACTAAGAAAGGGACACAAGCTGCCAATTAAACCACGGCACCAGCTGTCGTGATAATCCCGCTCGACACATGAATCCATCTCACCAGCCCCTCGTGGCTTTGAACTTCCTTTCATGTACTCCACGGGCGCTGGCAGCCCCGCCTGCCTTACGTCCTATCATATAGCATGGAGCAGGCGATCCTGGTGCAGGACTCTGGGTAACGAGCACAACGCTGCTTTATTGCCGCATGAGCACCTCCATCTCTTTTGTCTTGTAAGGCAGTTGCTTGTTACTTTGCAAAAAAAAAAAAATACGGCATTGAAGACATTCTTTTCGGCGGGAGGTTTTGGACCTGCAGTGCCCCTCCTCTTCTGGGTACAGACTGACTTTTTGGTCCATGCTTCAAAGAGCGCCACCTTGATAAGACGTCTAGACGACCAGGAGACCCACCATGGAGGTACCAACGCTATGTGGCTGGCGTAGCTCGTGGGGAGCAGCTCTGACCAGGTTGGAGTGTGTGCAGACAGTGACGAGCTGCGGTAACTGCCGGCTGGCTGCCGGCCAGCACACCTGAGAGAGATTGGAATGTGGAAGCTCTCCATCTGAGAAGTGGTCAAATTGTCGGGAACATTCCATCACACTGGATCTGGATTTGTAACTGCCTGAAACCTGCGACGGCGGCATGTCTGTGAGGAAGTCTCCATTGGGACCACAGGTCAAGCCAACTGGCTGTCGAGTTGACTGCACCGCACGGCAACCCCCACGTGTGACCCAGTGGAGCTGTGTTCCCGGGGCTGCCCAGGGCTGAGGTTTTCAGAAGCAGTTTCCTCTAAGGAGCTCGGGGTCTGCTCAGACGCCCAGTGTGTTGGTTAGCAGCCAGACGTGTGGACCATCCACACTCCCACGGGGACCCCAAAGAGCTCTCCAACTTCCTGCTGCTTCTCGTCTGTACCAGCAGATCGTGCCTTGCAAGCCTCGAGCAGGCAGTCATCCGACGGTGAACTTAAAGACATTGCTGTCTGTGTGTCAGGGCTGTCTTTAGAAACGCATTGTCCCTTGTAGGAAGTGAGACTTGTACTAGAGAGTCTCCATTTTCAGCACCTGCATTTAGGTGAAAAGGTGAGGCTTATAGAAGAACTATGTCTGGCACACGAGCATAGGCAGAGGGAGGTGGCAGGCGATCTCTGGAGGGAGGCACACCTGGGCAGGGGCTGCCCTCGGCTCTGCTCGCCGACTGTAGGAGCCTACATAGTCCAGCGACTCCTCTATGACCTGCTTCCCCTTCTGCAAAATGCAGCGCTGAGAAGCCAGTGAAGGGTATACGCTGGCACTTTGTGGAGAGTGCGGGCCAGGAGTTGGCAGTCCCGGAGTCTGGGAGATAGCGGCATGAGTGTTACCTGCCATTCGGGTGGCCTTGTTCTCTCTTCCCAGAGTAAGGTGCGGCAGACAAGGGTTGGACCAGTTAACTGGCTCGAGACACATCAGGCAGAAGCTGGAAGGGAACGGTACTTCAAGTCTGGAAAGTGAAGGACAAGAGGGCTGGTAGGGTTGTTTGCCAAATCCCAGCATGCTTGGTACTTTGAAGAGGCAAACATGACAGACTAGCAGAGAGTCCAGGTGAATTTGTATCAGATCCAAGATGGCAGATACCAGGGACTCTGGAAGACCATCACCAGGCCCCAGGATCATCCCTGGGTGCCCCTAACAAAAGGAACGAGGCCTAGGGGTGCAATAGAGAAGGTCACACGTCTGAAGGTGCTCCCTCAGCTTAATTATTGTGGCTTCATTAGTGTGACCAGAGCTCAGCACCTCTTCTGTGCCAGGGATGTACTTGTTTGATGGCAGGTGGGTGTGTGCATGGTGTCTTCCCGGTTTTATAAATGAAGACACAGATAGAGGGTCCCCCAGAGCAAGAAACAGAGGGGCTTGCTTTCGGGTGGACAGCTGGTGTGGGTCCTCAGCAATGGCCCTTCCTGCTCCCAGAGCCAGGGGGCCGCTGGCTGCTGCTCTGCCGGGGCCTGGGACATCGAGTACTGCTGCGGAAGTGTGCTCTCTGCCAGACCTGGCGCCTCTTCCCAGAGGCCTCTCTCCACAGTGGCCAGCGATGTCTTTATCCTGTCCCCTCTACCGGCCAGTTACTCTTCATCAACGGATAGCCTCAGGAGCAGAAACCGACGGGTTGGAACAAGGAAGACTCTGCTGAAAGGCTGTCCAGATTTTTTCTTCATCTTTCTCTGAACTAAGCTGGGGATTGGCCTTTTGGTATCGAGTGATGTTTTCACACTTCGCCCCACTGTCAGAGAGCCGCAGGCATGAAAGGATGATTTTTCGGTGTTAATGTGCAAACTCTCCGTCGCATTCAGAGTGTGGGCCATGCTGCTAAATCGAGAGCCTTTTAAGGTCACCTACATTGGGAGGAGAAGGGACAACGGCTTCAGCCACCTGGCTACTCCCCAGATAGTGAAGTGGCAGGCCGGCAGGTCTGGAGTCTGGAGTAGGAAATCACAGGTCAGCTCTCCTGTCTGCGCCCTTGGCTGTGGCTCTGAAGGTGCAACTCGGAGCAATCACTGCCCTGCGTTTGACTGGCTGTTGACTGGCGCACAAAGCTCCTCCCAGGCTGCAGAGCCTAGCCAGTGGGCCAACCAGCTCGGTAAATGATCGGGAAGCTGCCCTTTCTAGTACTGGCAGGCTTCTTTCCTCCATCTGTGCCACCCCTCCCACCTCCTCCCACCCCACTTCCTTAAACGAGGGGAAAGGAACCTCAGAAAGTCACTTTCCAGTTGAATATGAAATTGTGGGCTGACTGCACCCTCCCTATTAGCACTTGAATAGATAAGCCTTAAAGTTCACGGGCGCATCCCAGGTAAGGGACTGCCTTGGCAGCTTTGAGATGATTAGTTACTCAAGAACAGCTCCAGCCTGTCTTGGTGCTAATTGAGTTTGAAATTTCAGCTGAAGATTGACTGTCCTCGGGGACAGCGGGAGCCCTGGTTTGCAGCTAACCGAACAGGCTGGTCCTGCCAGCAGCAGGCTTCATCTGCATCGTGCTCCTCCCAAGCTTGATGGAGACAAAACAGGGGACTGTCCCTCGGGGAGGAAAAGGGAAGGGAGGGAGGGAGGGAGGTGGGGAAGAATTCTAGAAACCAATGAGCTCTGGAGCCAGCCAAGGACAGACAACAGCAATCTTATTTGCCAGGGGCCCGCTGTGCTCCTCCCCTGCACCCCTGTGCTGAAGGATGGATTGTTGCTTCAGGTGTTATTCCTAATCGAATGCTGGG